TAAAAAAAAAAAAAAAAAAAAAAAAAGGGCTCCTTCTCACGGTGTTGTCTTATTTCTGTTAGTACATTCTCACTAATGTCTTACTTTATACCCTTGGAAGACAAAGTGAAGGCCATTGTGAGGGTAAGCCAATGGTCACTGCGTGCTCACCTGAAAACCACAATCAGACCTGTATGTCCCCTTGTGTTTTCGTGATTGCCAGAAAGTTCATTGTGATGTGGCTGTGGCAGTTGGCTTTAGCAGCCAAGTCAAAGGCATTTAGACGTCTTTTAAGAAATTTGACTTCTAGCTGTGGGTGCAGTGGCTCACATTTGTCATCCCAGCACTTTGGGAGGTGAAGGTGAGAGGACTGTCTGAGCCTGGGGGTTTGAGACCAGCCTGGGCAACTTGGCAAGACCTTGTCTCTACAATAAATCAAAAAATTAGCTGGGGGTGGTGGTGTGCTGTGGTGCCAGCTGCTTGGAAGGCTGAAGCGGAAGGATTGCCTGAGCCCAGGAGGTCGAGGCTGTGGTGGCCATGAGTGTGCCCCTGCATTCCAGCCTGGGTGGCACAGTGAGGCTCTGACTGAAAAAAAAAATTTTTTTTACTTTTATGTAATAGTGATTTCTTGGTCGGTTTTGCAGTTCACTCTGAATCAAGACTTGCTCAGCCTAGTCAAGTTTCTGTGCAGCCAGAAGCTACACAGGTAAGAATGACAAAAGTATTTTTTCCAGTCTGTTTTTATGTAGTTCTTAGGCTTGTTTATGAAATCGTGAACTTGATGAGTGCCCACGTCTTCTGTTCTGAATTCACTGATTGGGGCAGCAATCAGCCTGGGTGTCTGTGTTTAGATTAGTTTCCCTTTGACGACTTAAACCCTTTTTTGTTGTATTTCTGATGGCTTGTTATCGTGAAGGAAGCTTTCTATTTGAAACTGAGTAGAATTTCAGAAGACATGTTTTCAATGTCATAATTCTGAAGTCTAGTGTGGATTTTGCCATTGTTGGGGCACTTGGGAGGGACGCAGGCTTATTCAACTCTGGGCTTTAAATGCAAGTATCTGTTGCAGTTGTTAGGTTTTATTGTCAGCCTACAGGTTCGGAGGGGAAGATAGTAGTGCGTTGCACCTCCCTGAACAGGCATGGCTGTTTCTTCGCCTTGTCTGTTGTGTCAGCAGTTGCTTCTGTAAGCAGACCGCTTTGGCTTCTTCACGTGTCTCTAGGTTCCTTTGGTCTCGTCCGCAAGTGAGGGGTACCCTGCACCTCAGCCCTTGTACCAGCCCTCCCATGCTGCAGAGCAGCGGCCACAGAAGGAGCCCATCGATCAGATTCAGGCAAGTCCTGTTACCTGGCCTCTTGCCTTGAGGAAGCTTCTCCAAGAATTGTGCGGAGTGACACCACCATGGACATGGCGACTCTCCTTCTTGGACTGGTTTTGCTTTCATGAAAGAGTTGCATTTGTGCGTATGCATGCTTGAGTGGAGGCCAGCACTAATGTGCATCTGTTCGCTTTGTGTTTAGGCAACGATCTCTTTAAATGCAGACCAGACGACGGCATCCTCATCCCTTCCTGCTGCTTCTCAGCCCCAAGTGTTCCAGGCTGGGACCAGCAAGCCTTTGCACAGCAGTGGGATCAATGTCAACGCGGCTCCATTCCAGTCCATGCAGACGGTGAGTAGAGAGCGATGCACTGAGCACCTACTGTGTGCTGTGAATCATATGAGACCTGCTGCGAAAGGTTCTTGTTTAGCTGTGCTTGAGTCTGCGTCTGCTGTGACCCTAAGTGTGTTTAATTGAACATAACCCCGATTATTCCAGTTCCTAGAGATAAGTTTGAGCCTTATGAGTTATGTATGTTGCATCTTTTTGTTTTGTAGTTTTACTGTTTTGATTTTCTTTGTCTTTTGAGTCAGGGTCTCTATTGCCCAGGCTGGGGTACAGTGGCATACTCCTGGCTCACCGCGTCCGTGACCGCTTGGGCTCAAATGATCTTTCTGCCTCAGCTTCCTGGTTAACTGGGACTACAGGTGTGCACTATCATGCCTGGCTAATTTTTTGATTTTTTTTTTGGTAGAGATAAAGTCTCAACAGCGTTGCCTAGGCTGGTCTCGAACTCCAGGCCTTAAGTGATCCTCCCACCGTGGCCTCTCAAAGTACCGGATTATAGGTGTGAGCCACTGCACCCAGCCACCTTTTTGATTTGATTAAGAAAACTTTAAACATTAAAAGAAATAGACTAGTGAAACATCCATGTAGTTATGACTTTAACATTTGTTGACGTTTGGCCTCTCGGCCTAACATTTTAATTTACTAAAGTGTTTAAAAGGACATTCAGATGTTATATGCTATCCTGACCTTCCAGCAGGCATCTTGGAAAATTTCTAGGGAGTGGTGGTAAGGAAAATATAGCTAAACTGGTGCCCAGAGGGAAGCTCATAGGGTTAGAGACTTAAGACTGTTCACTTTTGATTAAATATCAATTACAATGAAAATAAATGAGTAACATTCATCTCAGTTCGTAGAGTACATTTCCGGAAGTGGTATTGCATCCGGAGTTTGTCTTTTACAAAGGTATCTCGTCTGTCTGAAAGCTTTTCCTGGCTGCTGATGGCGTGTTTCACATTTTTTTTTTTTTTAATCTCCTTCTGTTTCGCAGCCTGTCATTGTACTTCACTCTCCCGACCAGGCCGTGTTCTGTCTTTCCACAATGAAGTACGCTGAGGGAGGGAGGGAGAGTGTGTGTGTGTATGGGGACAGTGATTTTATGTCAAGACTTATGGGATGTGGTTGTTTCTGTGTGAGGCGGAACCAGCACCGGGATGTGCGATGGTAACAAGCAGGGCGTGACAGGCCAAGCTAACGGAGGACCTCGTCCACTTACAGGTGTTCAACATGAATGCCCCAGTCCCGCCTGTGAATGAGCCAGAGACTCTGAAGCAGCCAAGCCAGTACCCGACCAGCTACAGCCAGGGCTTCTCCAGCCAGCCCCACCAGGTGGAGCAGACCGAGCTTCAGCAGGAGCAGCTGCAGACAGGTAGGGGCTGGGCCTCCTTGGCAGGCGGCCTGGGGGCAGGCTGCTCTGTGTGCTCTGGTGACCAGGGCTCTCACGGGAGCCCATGACTTTGGTTGCTGGCCTGAGGTGCGTCGAGGCCGGCTTGCGGTGTATGTCCGCACGGGTTTGGAGGCTGCAACCCACTTTCCTTTGGCCACTGAGCTTCATGATTTACCTAAAGTCAGACTTGTTGCTTGAGTCGTGATCAACGTTGCTTTCAGTTGCTGATGGCAACGCCCACGAGTGTGTTACCTGGCAGCAGGTCAGCTGGGCCCAGGTGGGTCATGGTAGGGCGCTGACTTGGCAACTCGTGAGCCTCTGCAAAGAGCTCACTGTGGCTGCCTCTGCTGGGCCAGGCTCAAACAACGCATTTTGGGAAGTGAGCTTGAGAAGATGCAGGAGGAGAGTCTAGGTGTTTTATGTATTTATTCTTTTTAGGGACAGGGTCTCACTCTGTTGTCCAGGCTAGAGTACAGTGGTGCAATCACAGCTCACTGCAGCCTTGAACTCCTGGGATCAAGCGTTCCTTCTGCCTCAGCCTTCTGAGTATGTAGGACTACAGGCATGAACCACCACACCTGGCTACGTTTTTCATATCTTGTAGCAAGGGAGTCTTGCTGTGTTGCCCAGGCTGTCCCGAACTCCTCACTGGAAGCAGTCCTCCTGCCACCGTCTCTGAAAGTGGTGGGATTCGAGTGTGAGCCTCTGTGCCTGGCCACATTGTTTATTATATTTGTAAGACATCTTCTTTATCTTTATTTATATTTATTTATCTTTATCTTCTTTAGGTCTTTGGTTATTTAATTTCTAGGAACTTAATTGGAATCCCACTACCAATTAGCAAAGCCTGTGAAAATCGCAGGAGTTAAGACTGTGTCCGACTGGCTTTTAAAACCGTGGACCATTTTAGTTACTTGGTTTCTTGGCAGACCTTCCTGTGGCGAAGTCCCCGTATCCTGGAGTCCTTGTGTCGCTAGCTGGCATGAAGGCCCAGTCAGCTGCAGCCCAGCAGCAGCTTCAGTTGCTCGGGCTCAGCTCCTGGGCGGGACCCTGGGCTCCTGCTCGCGGCCCCGAGCTGCCTCCTTGCCACGTGCTGGGAGGCTACTGCTGGAGCAGGAGCATTTGGGTCCTCTAGACGTCGTGCTCCCACGCTCGTTGCCACTTTGTGGATGGTTGTGGTGAAGTAAAAGGTGGTTCCTGAACGTCACTTGGCTGATTTTGCCCCTTGTGCCAGTCAGTGTGAAGCTGTCTCGCTCTTGTCTCATTCTGCCTGGTTGTCCTGATCGTGCGGCGCATGAAGCTAGGTAACGCTTAGCTGCCATTTCAGAATACATGTCGGTTGTACAAAGCAGCTTCGTGACCCTGACAGGTGTTGGAGTCAGCCTGTCCCTTGCCTTACTCAACGCCCCTCCTGCCGCCGCTCTGGCAGGCCTTGGCACAAGTCCCTGACCTCTCTCTGCACTACTCTCCGCATAAACATGGAAACCAGATGCCTCTCCTGCTCAGAAGCTTGCCGGTGGCTTCCCACACCTTCAGGAAGGAAAGCCACCGTCCTTCCGTGGCCACGAGGTCCTGTGGGGTCTGGCCTCACCTTGCCTCTGCTGCAGTGTGCACTCTCCACATTCTTGGGGCCTCCACACTTGGCTTTTTGGTTGCCTCCTAACTTCCTTCAGGTTTGTGCCTGAATATCACCTCTCGTGCCCTCGTTCCCTCTCTCACCCTTTCCAGAGACAACTCACTTGTGTGGCGCCTCATGGTCTTCCTTTGTGTTTACGTGTGTGTCTGTTGCATTCATTTATTATCTTCCTTTGGAATACAGTTTCCCTGTGGGCGAGAGCCATGTGTTGGTAATGGATGTCTCCCTTGTGTCGCGGCCAGGCTTGACACGCTGTAGGCACACTGAAGTTCGTTGAACCCATCTGTGTGTCCATCTTTCCAGAAGTTCTGTGTTAATTTGAATTGGTGTCTACTCAGGAACAGTGTGACAAAAAGACCTTGGCTTTTCTCTTTCTTTTTTGAGTTGGAGTCTCTGTTGCTCAGACTGGAGTCCAATGGCCGCTCCCGGCCACCGCAGCCTCAACCTGCTGGGCTCCGGCGATCCTTCCGCCTCAGCCTTCCAAGTAGCTGGAACTACAGGCACGCGCTACCATGCCCGGCTAATTTTTTGATTTATTGTAGAGTTGAGGTTTTGCCAAGTTGCCCAGGTGGGTCTCGAACCCACGGGCTCAGGCAATCCACTCACCTCGGCCTCCCAAAGCACGAGATTATAGGCTGAGCCACTGAGCCCGGTGGCGTTTCTTTTTAATGGACAAAAAAATGCAGATAGGAATTCAGGCATATTAAAATAACCAGTCACGCTGAGTTGTTCTGCTGCGAGTGTCTTGCAGTGAGGTTTAACAAAGATTAATAAAAGTTCTTACTGATCAGCGATTCTAGAAGGGAAAAATCATCTGAAATTTGGTCTTTCGGCCACTTTGTACATGCATGTGAATGAACCTTCTTGGACAGAAAATGTCCTGCGTGCTTGGTATTTACTTACAACCTCTCATCTTTAGGAAGACGAGAAGAGGCCGTCTTCCGAGGGTGATTGTGCCATGCGCTGGCTCCTCCACTTCCTTCTGAGATGTGCTCACCTTTTTTCTTGCTGAACGGTGTTCTGGGAACTAGTGACTTACTTGGAGCTTCTTTGGGATGTTAAGTGGGTCGGGTAAAGGATTTCAGGGCTCACACGGGTGTTCTGTCTGCCACACAGTGGGCGGGCCGTTGCTGCTGACCTTCTTCCTGGGTGTGGGCCAAGGGTGCTTTTAGCTCCTGTTTTTTTCCCCTGTGAATTGAAAACATTGGGTGGCCGGGTGTGGTGGCTCACACCTGTCATCCTAGCACTTTGGGAGGCAGAGGTGAGAGGACTGCTTGAGCACCAAAGGGGTTTGAGACCAGCCTGGGCAACTTGGCGAGACCTTGTCTCTACAATAATGGAAAAATTATTGGAAGGCTGGGTCGGAAGGATCGCCTGAGTCCAGCAGGTCGAGGCTGCGGTGAGCTGTGAGCGTGCTACTGCGCTCTGGCCTGGGTAACAGAGTGAGACTCTGGCTCAAAAGAAAAAAAGAAAAAGTTGGAGTAGTACCAGGAATGTACCTCAGTATTTAGTTTCTGAAAGTTTCTGAATTCTAGAACTCTCCCTTGTGGAAAGGAGTGTTGTGTGTGCCTGCTGGTGTGTGCCCTGCTTTCAAAGGTTTGGAATTACGGCCAGAGGGTTTTTTCCCAGTAGCTTAATCTGTGTGTAGGAGGAGGGCAGGGACTTGATTAACTTGTGGTTTCCCTGTTGCCAATGTGCTCCCTCATTTAAGGACAGAAGTAAACTTCAGGGGAGACACTCCCGGAGCGGAAAGTGTGTGGGGCAGCGGGCGCCATGAGCTGTGTATGTACACCTGTGTGTGCCACATGTGTAAATGGAGACCCTTCCTTCTGTTGCAGTGGTTGGCCCTTACCACGGGCCCCAGGACCAGCCCCATCAGGTGACAGGGAGCCACCCGCAGCCACCCCAGCAGAACACGGGGTTCCCACGCAGCAGCCAGCCCTACTACAGCAGCCGCGGTGTGGCCCGTGGTGGTGCCCGGGGTGCCCGAGGCTTGATGAATGGGTACAGGGGCCCTGCCAACGGGTTCAGAGGTAAGAGCAAGCACCTTCTGACCCCTATAGGGTTCCATGATCTTCTGGCTTGGAAAGTACGTGGAGAAGTCCTAGGGCTCTAGAGGTGACGTCTCTCTTCATTCGCTTCTTCTGTACTGCTTAACCACTTTGAGTACATTTTGATACAATTTGACAATTTTGGAGACTTTTTGTTTGTTTTTTGTCAAATTAATGTCTGCCATTGTCTTCTGGGGCATAATGGCTTTCCACGCGTCACCAGACCTTAAGTTTGTCATGTGTGTGCACGCGCACGTTTTTACATTGATGGGTGAAAATTTCATCTCCTGAGGCAGTTCGTTAGTATATGCAGAAATATGTGAACAGGTTGGATCAAGATAGGAAATTAGAAAGTATTTTGAATAACTAGGCTGGTTCTTATAATTTTCGAGTCTTTGTAATTAGTAGAAAAGTAAAAGTCCCTTGCAGAGATGAGAACGTACTGATTTTCTCAACCTAAATTCTAGGAGGCTATGATGGCTACCGCCCTTCCTTCTCCAACACTCCAAACAGTGGCTACGCACAGTCCCAGTTCAGTGCTCCCCGGGACTACTCTGGCTATCAGCGGGTAGGTACATTGTTTGTTTTAAATTCTGAACCTGACCTAGGTACGCCAATGAGAGTGACTGACAGGCTTTGCTTAGTGAACCCAAGTAATTATGGGCTGACTTTGTGGTGCTCAAGATACTTTGTTCTGCCCCGATGGGCTTTGCTGGTCTTAGTGTGCAGTGTAGCTGCTCCTTTGATCAAGTCTGCTAGGGACAGAGTGGGTCTGAGGAGCAGAGAAGCATGTTCCAGTCAATATTCTTATGCATTACAACAGTCACAGCATGGCATTTAGGTATGATCGACTGGGATGTCTAAAAGATGAAGAATTGTGTATTCTGAGGGTTAGACTATAAGAACAGAGATAAGATTTGATAGGGTAAGCATTTCTTCTACTTTAGGACTAACTGGCTTGTCTTTCAGGATGGATACCAGCAGAATTTCAAGCGAGGCTCTGGGCAGAGTGGACCCCGGGGAGCCCCACGAGGTAATATTTTGTGGTGGTGATCCTAGCTCCCGAGGGAGCTTCTCTGTCTGGCCTTGGAGGAGCTGTCCGTAGTCTGCATGCAGGTCCCACGCTAGGAGTGCGTTGATCCTTTCCAGACTGTCGCTAGGGATGAAATGAAATGCTGTTTCTAAAGCCTCATCTTGAACCCAAATTTTAATTTTCGAGTGACTTTCCCTGTTACTACATGATCTGTCTTGAAAAACTAGAACATTTTCTCTTCCTCAGAAAAAATGTTTTTCCAACTGGAAATTATTTTTCAGGTCCTAAAACCTGCTAAATGTTTTTAGGAAGTACTTCTGAAACATTTTTGTAAGACATTTTTGGAACGAGATTGAACATTTATATAAATTTATTATTCTTCTTTTGTTTTTGAAACATGCCTACTATCTTTTAGGGCCTGAAACCCTTCGATGGCCAGAGAAGCCATAGTTACATACATTTAGAGAACCATTTAGAAGTGATAGAAGAATGCATGGAGGTGTCAAAGCCTTTTGGACCACTAGTAGTGATACAACTATCAACTTATTTCTGACTTTTGAACAAAACTCTCAAATTCCTAACGTACTGAACTATGCTTTAAAAATTTAGAGGTTTTAAGAGTTGTTTTGTCTTTTGCTATTGGAAAACACCTTCCTAATGGGGCAGGAAGTTCACCTATTTAACACTTACAGCTAGCATTTCATGTAATCTGAAATTCTAAATGGTTCTCCGATTCGAGAGAGGTTACGCATAGAATCGTTTTCCTCCAGTTATTGGCCATGACGTGTGTAAAATGTATGTTAAGGAGGAATTGCAGAGTGCTTTGATTTGAATGCTGGTAGAAACTGGCCAGCAAAAAGGTGCGCTTATAAAAAAAAAACAAAAATGAATGGATCACTTGAGAATCACTGTTTGAAGTGTTGAAGGCTGTTTGCATGTGAATGGGGGTTCTGTTCTTTCTTACCCTGTCGCATATTCTATGAAAGTGGAGTTAACTGATAGCTAAAATCTGTTTCCGAAGCATGTAAAAAGTTGTTTTACCTGTTACAAGTCATTATGCGATTCCGGATGTTCTGTAGCCCTGAGCAGTTGAGGTGATGAGGTCTGTTCATTCTGGTGCTTCCCCGATGGCGTGATGTCGCTGGCGAGCGTACGCAGCGTGTACTAGAATGGAAGCTCCAAGAGAGCAGGCTCCGTCCGTCTTCACTGCTGTATCCATTCCCCACGCCTGGTGACGGTGCCCGGCACACAGCGGGCACTCAATAAATACTTGTTGAATGAATGAATGAATGAGTACTGGTGGATACTCCATAGCTCCCGCTTCTTTTAGCTGGGGAACGGGGCATATGTGCGCATGGCAAGTCCAGGCCAGGTGAGGCTTGGACCCTGGAGAATGGCCTCTCAGACCCATAGGTGGGGCAGGCTGCCCACGTGCTTCTTGACTTCAGGTGAAAGTCTGCTTGAAGGCAAAGCAAGGAATATCTGAAAGAAAAATCAAATGCCATTTTTGTCTTCTAGGTCGTGGAGGGCCCCCAAGACCCAACAGAGGGATGCCGCAAATGAACACTCAGCAAGTGAATTAATCTGATTCACAGGATTATGTTTAATCGCCAAACACACACTGGCCAGTGTACCATACCATGTTACCAGAAGAGTTATTATCTATTGTTCTCCCTTTCAGGAAACTTATGTAAAGGGACTGTCTCATCCCATAAAGACAGGACTGCAGTGGTCAGCTTTCTGTCACCTGGACACGGAAGGAATCTCTTTTTACTCTGCATGTTCTGTCCTCAGCGTCATCTCGAGCCTCGCACATGATGCTCAGATCCTCACCCTTGCTTAGGAGTTAAAAGTAACACTTTACGGGGTGATGAGAATCTCCATAGTTACTCGGAGTGACTTGAAAAAAGCAAGACTGACTTTTTGACATTGGATAAAATCTACACATCAGCCCCATTCAGTGGTAATTGACAAAACTAAACTATTTCCCTTGAAAGGAAGAACGGAAGGCGTGGAGTGTGGTTCGGCAGAGCAACTGCATTCCGCGGCTTGTCCAGCTCAGTTGCCTGCCGGACATTCAGAGGCATCCCAGGCACCATGGCCCTCCACGTGCAGGGCTGGTCTCCAGTTGTGCCCGGCACTGTTCATCTGGCCAGACGACTGTGATTAGAAACACAGGCAAATTGCTTTTTAGCAGCTGATACTGTATACGATAAAGCCAAAATGCAAGGTTAGGCTTTGATTGGCACTTTTATAAAATATGCAACAAACATGGGATGTGATCTGGATGGCCGCTTCCATACATAATGTGAAGCGTTTAGATTCCTTTTGAACGTGTAGCCGTTTCCTTGCGACAATGGCTTTTGTAAGGATTGGTGTGTCCATCACTCCTTACGACGCGACATTGTCTGTCACTAATCCTTGGGTCTTGCTGTGTAGTCACCTAATTGGTACCGGTACTGGCAAAATCGCTAACAGATCATAACACTCTCGATCACTGTCTTTCCTGCAGTTTGAAAGTTTTTTTTTTTTTTAAAGGAAAGATAACAAATGCCTGCCGCTGCCACCCTTTTGAATTGCTCTCTTCTGAAAAGCACCAGGATGTGTGTTCAATTGGTCTCCCTGTTTTAGGGAAATGACAGTCCATAGTTTCAGTTCTGATGGCATAAGCAAAATGAATAAAAACATGTTTATAAAATTTGAATCTTGAACCACTGGTGTTCACAGCTGGCAGCTCCCGGGTGCCCCATGCAGGGTCTGCGCCACGATTCGTGGCTCTACAGTCACTGTCCTCTGGGACTGCACTCTCTTTTGTCTGACTGGGCCCTGGGAGTCTCCTTGGCCCGGGGAGGCATCCTTGCCCACAGTGGTGACTCCTCCCTTTGGCATGGAGGGTGCGTCTCGAGCTCGAGGGACGTGGACAGTTGAGTAGTGACTTGGCCTACTGGGAGCACTCGTTCCGTGTGCCTAGACTTTCATGCTGCTCGTTGGCCCATTCCACTTTGACTTCGTGGAGAGTTAGTCCCACCCGTTTAGCAAAGGCTACAGCGTTAATGGTATTTCCTGTGCAGAAATTACATTTTATTTGCAGCCTTTAGCTAAGGAGTTTTTCCAGTAGGTGCTCAGCTTCTTAAAAACAAAGAAAAATTACTCTCACACCTTGACCATTAGACAACTGGAGTTTTTGCTGGTTTTGTAACCTAAAACGGACAGGCTGTTGAACATTCCACATTCAGAAGTTTTGTAGGGTGGTGGGGAATGGGGATCTTCGATGTTTATTTTAAAATAAAATAAAACGAGTTCTCGCCTCTTCCCATGTGTGGTTGTGGTACATCATAGCGGGAGGGTCAACCTGCTGGCCTGGGCAAGCGAGCGCTGCTTTTGCCTGCTCCTCCCCTGCGTGCTTCGTACTGCACGGCAGCTGCCTGGGATGTGCCACAACCACACGTTTAGCCGCATCTAGGGGGCGGGTGGAGGCTGTGGCGACCGGGTGATCTCCGGATGATGTATGCCTGCACTCCTGTATAAAGCAAGTTTGCTGTATGTGTAGAAAGTAACTTCTAGACTGCTACAATCAAGACGGAAGAAAATGAGCTCTTTATTCGGTGATCTCTGAGTCGGTTGGGGGGGTGGGTGGGAGAATCCTAAGCTGTTCGTCTGTGCATTAGTGCAGGTGTTGTGAATGTGTAAAGGCGTTCCTGGTTTCTGTGTATGTTTTCAAAAGAGGTTGTGGACTGTCCTTTTTTTGGCATTTGATCAAGTTCAAATGTAAACCTTCTAAGTCTCGATTCAGACCATGTGTTTTAAAAGCTCTGCCTCATTATGGGGCAGAGAACGTTTTAAAAAGTTCCATTAGGATCTGCATCTCGGTCCTTGGTTCTGTACGTGGACGCGCATTCTAGCTGCCGAAGGCCTTGTGTCTGGTCAAGTGCATATGTTGGCAGAGCTGCAGGACATGACTGTCATGAGTCAAGGTGTCTCTTGGGTAGCAAGACCACATGTAAGGTACTTTTGTTACATGCACAACGTCAGTCGTGTCACATAGATAGTGAAGCTTTTTTTTCTTTTTAAATTTTTTATTTTTTTTGAGTTGGAGTCTCACTCCATTGCCCAGACTGGAGTGCAGTGGCTGCTCCCGGCCACCGC